AAAAGTCTGAAAAAAAAACAAAAAAACCTTGATAGCATTTTCTTTGAGCTTTTTTCGTCACACTCATCCTGTTCAGCGAGTGCCGACTCGAGTCGAGCTTTGACCATTTCGAGTTGTTGTGATAGCTGAAATTCAATTAACTTGAAAATGAAAAAAAAAACACTAAAAATAGTTACAATTTCAATATCAGATCGCAATCTGTTCACATCAACCGACTTGGCAGGATTCCTCAGCATTGTTGATGATTTATTGTGGGGAGGAGGTGGTGGCGGGTCCATAGGACGTTGACGGGGTAATGTGGTACTTGACCACATTTTCAGAAAAACAACCCAGAAAACGGAAAAAAAACTGATAATTTGATATAAAATAGAGATAGATTATAGTTTATTAGAAATTAGAAGAAAATCTTGTTTTGCAATCAAAAAGAGGCAATATCAATAAGCAAATAAATGAGAAATCGAGACCGGCGATTTGACAGTTTCTGTGACAGCTCTCTCTCCAAGCGCCGCCAGTTATTTTCTGACGGACATTCGATCGCAAGACTTGGGTGGCATGAAACTTGAAAGCATTGATCTAAGGAAAACAAAATGAGCAATGATGGTCACAAGTAAGGGGTTTTCACGAATGGATAGAGAACAGTAGGAATCAAAACAAAATGTGGCGGTAGATGTAGCGGGGTCATGAAAAATGAAAGGAGTCTTTGATTTTTCCACTTCAGAGCAGAATTCAACCCAGTTGTTGCTGTTCCTCTTCTCAATGATTCCCTATGGTATTTGGATTTTATTGGGGGTCCTCGCCGTTCTAAATTCATGGATTAGATCAGTAAGAAAACTGTTGTATTTTTTTGATGAAAATGTATGCAAATTGTTATCAGAAAATTACTTCCGAAAACTTCGTACTCCTTACCATATCTATGCTTCTCTTTGTTTTCAAGATTTTCACCTAGTTTCACCATAAGTTTTACATTTTTCGTAACATATTGAGAAATCCTAAGTGTTCCTTGATCAACTAAACAACAACATCTTCAAAAAGTAAAGTTTCGAAATTGGAGCTACTTACCCTAACTCGTCCATCTACATCATCCCTCTACCAATCATGTCCTATTTCTACTACTCCTTGTTTTTCCATGTCAATTCTTCTGGGCATTACATCTGGATGTGTTTCGCAACCCCTAAACAGTCATAGTATACTTTTTACCTCGTGTCGTTTTATAATCCAAACTTGTATTTCTTTATGACTCACCTGTCTATTTACACTGTTCAATATTTAAAATTTGAGTCATCTGACCTTCTTTGTAATTTTTCACTCCTCCTCTTTTCTCTGAATTATCTTTGAATTTTCGCGCGCCAAGTTTTATTCAAGGAGAGGTTTGCGGTCTCTCATTTTTTACACGAATTTTTACCTCGATTGAACCTGTTTTCAATTGACCCTTTTAATCGAATCTTGAGTTATTTCATCAAATTCTCAGTGAATTTCGTCAGTTTTGTAGAGGAATTTTCACAATCCGTTTGGAAGATTCGATTGGACAAGAAAATGACATCGCTGACTACTGAACGTGAGTTTTTATGTTATATTCTGGGGTTTCTTATCTGATTTTGTGGGGAAAAGTAGAAGGGTAATAATTTTTTATGTTCCTTTTCAAGTACAAAAAGAAGAGCCGCTATAATCTTTTGCCTTTCCAAACAATGGATTATTTTCAACTCAAAAGCTAATAGACTACCATATTTTATCTAAAGTACTTCTTTTTATGTTTTTTCTTTCTCCCCACCCTACACTTTAAGTCATCTTCAACCGGGTGTACTGAAAGAACGCAAGAATGCACTAATTCATCATTTCTTGATGGAAGGATGGGAAACGTGAAGACAGAAATTTTTGTTTCAACAACAGCTGTCGTCGCGTTTTCCTTCCGGCGTCATCCTGTCTCTTGTCAAGCTTTGTTGAATGTCAGCAAGGCGTTAGTATTCATGAAACACTGCTGCAGAAGAACTTTTTGATAATGTAACTGAGACAAACATAGAAATGACAAACTTTTTTGTAGTATACATGTTCCACATGGAGGGTGGAACGGGTTGTTGTTTCAAAATGTATAGGTGTCACTCACAGGTTGATCGGTACAAAACACAGAAGAAAGTGGAAAAAAACTAATATACAAAGAAAAGGGTTGGACAAAGAACATATCTCAATCGCCTAGTATTTGGCTATTATGAAGTTTCACGGTTAGACTACAGTTGGATACTTCAGTATGGTGAGAAGAGAAAATATCCACAAAAGCTTGACGTTACAGACGCCTTGATATTGGAATTTGTTACAGACTTCTCTTTAATAATTTTAGTAAAAGTTTGCGTGAAACAGTTTTGTGCATGGTAACTCTCGGTGTAGGAAAACTTGTGTAATATGTAGTATTTCTCTCCTTGAAATGAACCGTAATTCAAAAACTGCATTATATTGCATAATCTTCTTTGGATGTGATATGTTCCAAAGTTAGTTCTGGCAAAGTTCACCTGAAAAAAATTCAACGGAAGCATATGTGAATTTTGCTCCGGAAGCCCGTCTGATACTAACCTAGCCTTGCCTATTTCACGCTTAGATGGCTTCACAACCAATTCATTGCTTCATTCGGACAGCCACATTCAGCTCAAAGAGTGTGTCAATGAGCCAATAAATCCATGCATTTTGCCTCCTCTTTTCCCGGACCTCTAACGGAGGAGCGCGCCTTCTCCGCCTATGATGTCTCCGCCCATTTTCACAGCTCGCTGAGCAAAACATAGGCACGACACATACTCAAAAGAGCATCTGCCCTCGGCTCCTTCAAACTTTCTCTTTTGTGTGCTTCCTGAAGAGATTACTTTATTACGGATTCATAATGACTGCAATTGCAAGCCCTGTCAATCATGACATCATCTGCCAGAGATATGTTCTAGATGACTTACGTAAGTTATCTTCTTTTGTTGACCGGTTTTCCGTGTTCTTAGAATTTGGATAGTTGAATCACTTATCGGTGCTTAGCAAAGCTAATGAGACAAAGTTGTTCGAAAACTGACAGATAACCCGGAAAACCTTATTTGGGGTATCACTAGTGAAGATACCTGACGGCAACAAATAAGAAAATTTTCAATTTTTGATTCTTCAATTCATATTCGTTATTATTTCTATATAGTGCTTTGTAGTAGTGCCCTAGACGAACATCTAAAATAAACAAATTCACTGATCCTTCCTTCTGCTTTTCCTTCTTTCTCTCTTTGCGACGTGCGTTTTTATAATGTGGCTCTTCGTTTCCTCCTAACTCTGGAACATGTGGAAGTCATAACTCAGTTATAGTGTCAAGTTACCCAAAAAAAACTTAGTGTCGTCATTCCGTTTCACGCCAACTTTTATCTCTTTCACTCAACAAAGGGCAACATTGAGAATGTGTTGCCAATCATCTCTTTTCTGCAGTGAGCCTCTAGACTCGGGGAGAAAATTTGTCCAAATTGGGAAACTTGGCAAAGAATGGGTGTGCAACACACAAAATTGCAGTAATTTGGTCTGCAAATAACTCAACAGGAGAATTCTTTTTTAGTTGGTGGATAGGAGGACAATGTAATGCCATAAATCAGCTCAAAAAAGATGAAGAACCAAAAATTGAGAAGACATTTTTCGCCCTATCCCAGATGTTTTTCAACGCGGAAGTAGTTCCAAACAACCTTTGCATTCTAAATATGACGTTAAAATGCAGCCCACGTATACCAAGTGTCAGTTCAAACTACACGAGAAACCTGAACAAAAATTCAAGTTCGAAACTTGCCAAACTTAATTGAATTTCTGCCAAGAAACTTATTTAAGAAGGGTTCTCGTGTACTTTGGTCGGTTGTTTTAATTAGGCCTAACAGTATTCCTTTTCATTGGCTCATTTCGGTTCTTCTTTTTGTTTCAAGACAAATGTAGGCGTAGTGCAGTTCAATTCCACAGGGGCACATTCTTCAGTGTGCCTATCCGGGAGCCATACTATAGGTGAAACAGAGAGCGGAGGAGGTTCCAGAAGAGCAAAAGGCCATCCTTTTGTTTTATGGATGCTCTTCTGCAAACCAGGGCAAAGGAAGGCAATATAATGCAAGAACCAGAAAAAGTAGGGCCTAAGATTTGTGAGGAAATAATAAAATCTGATCTAAGACACCACAAGGGTTCGATCTCTTTTCCCTCTATATTTGGTCGTTGATGCCGTCAAACAAACTAGCCATAAATTCTTTGCTCGCGCCAAGAAACGTTTATTTTAATTGAATTGAGTCCCATGCCCCGGAAAGGTCTCGAATCAACCTTCTTAATCGAATTGGAATTTGGTGACTTCATGACGCATCTGTATATAAAACCCGGCTATTTATAAAAACCATCAGTTTCGGTGAGGACGTGATTCTGAAAACAAAATAAGATGTCCTGAGCAGAAGGGAGGCAAGAAGAAGATGAATTTATTCATTCATGTACGCCCGCAGTTTGCTCTCACTCTCAGAGCGTAGAGCAAAGAATTCGTTGTTAGAACAAGGCACTCACTAAGTTTTGTGAGAAACATTTGTGAAAAAAAACGAGGAAAAAACAAGAAAATAGTTGTAAATAATAAAACATTTCAGAACTCTCGGAGACATTCGACCTTCTCGACGTCGACAAAGACGGTCGTCTTTCACGTAATGAGATCGCAGCTCTTCTTAGAACCATCAATGTTGAGCCAACTCGCGTTGAGCTTGACTTCATCTTCGGGGAAATGGATACAGACAGTGAGTTAGCAATACGAACACTGAAATCTAGGGACAGTGGAAGTCTAAAATTCATTTATCCAAAGTTTTCATGCTCTCAAGAGCATCAAACCCTGAAACTCACTTTTCCATTTGCAATAAAAAATAAAAAACAATTTCCGAAAGTTAGTCGACCAACCATTTCGACCACTCTCCTATCTCTCTTTTCTCTGCCCCGGTGACACTTACCTATCTCTGTCCAATAGTGTACACAAACGATAGATAGTCTAGCCGTGGGCCTCCTTAGCTCAGTTGGTAGAGCGTGAGACTTTTAATCTTAAGGTCAGGGGTTCGAGTCCCCTAGGTGGCTTGACTTTTTCGTTTTTTAGAGGTTCACTTTAACCCACATCATTTTTGGTCCTTGAACTGCTAGAGGTAATGGGCCGTGTAAATTGACCAAACATTGGCAATTTTCTTTGATTTCTGTTGTGTTGTCATAAAATAGAGTCAAGTCGCAAGTCATAGAAATGAGAAACATTCAGCTATTAAATTTCCAAGAGAGGATCTTCGTCCTAAAGAACGTGTGGGCGCTCCGGAAGACAAAAGAACACTAGCATATCATATTTTTTAATATTTTCATTTTTTGACATTCATTTCCAGAGACTGGAAAAATCAGCAAGGAGGAGTTCGTCAACTACATGAAATCTCCACCAATTCACAGAACCACTCTTCGTGAGCTCGAGGTTCAATTCCGCAAGTTCGATTCAGATGGTGACGGAGCTATCACTGAAGGTTTGTTAGTTTCGTCGCCCTCCTCCTTCTCAGTTTCCAATCCTCCAGAGAGGGGGCACACAATCATTTCTTGAAACTTTTTTCTTCTGCCGTTGACTTCGCCCAAGCCAATCTACAAAGTTTGTGCTTGCTCTCCCAAAGTTCATTTCATTTTCAGTGAGCAGAAAAAAAAAGAAAAGGGATAGGGATAGAACGGGCTATTTGGCGATTCAATTTCGTTCCACGTAGAAGAAAAAAGTTTGAAAAAACGGTGTGCAGGAAGAAAGCAATGACGGAAGAAGACGAATTATCCAGCAAAAAACCTTTTTATTTTGCAGACGAAATGGCGGAAATCCTCAGAAGCACTGCAGATTTGGAAGATCGCGCTGCCATCAGTGACATGTTCAAGGCAACCGATTTGAATGGGGATGGAAAGATCACCTTCTTTGAATTCGTCAGAATGATGCAAGAATAATTATATTGTCCTTACTGAACAAAAAATGTAGTAATAATTTGTCTTCTTCAAAAAAAACTTCTTTCCTATATACTCGCCAAAATCGTCTATTTCATTTCCTTTTCTGTCTATCCTGTCGTGTTAAAGCTCACCTTCCCGTGTTGTTACTTCATTCCTTTCTCCCCACGCCTTTTCTCCACCACTTCTCTCTTCTCTTTTCTTCTATTGCTGAATAAACTAGTAGTACTTTCAAAAGTTTCAACCAACCCACTCACAACAACAACAACACACAAATACCCGAAAGCACCAGCTGGGTGACCACGTTTTCACTCAGACACTCGACTACTTTTTTTTTGGTCAATTCCAATCCTCTCACATCCGTCTTTGTTATATTTTTGTCGGAAACGGCCAGAAAAAAATAGATAGGAAGTTTCAAACACCATCGCGATATTATTCATGAAGTGAAGTGCTCTTGGCACGGATACGGTGGCACACGCAAACTCTCACAAACACACTTCTCGGCTACTTTAACTCCCAAGAGTCTAATCCATCAAAATCTCAGAGGTGATATTCAAAGAAAAAAGAAGATGAAACATTGACTTTTGGGAATATACACACATTTCAAGGTGTGCTCGTATGTCACACTACATGTGGCAGCTATCAAAGTTTCAAAAAAAAAGAAAGATTACAAAATCCTCTCGGGAATCGAAAGAAACGTTCTTTTTGTTTACTGTAGAAAAAACGAAAGGGCAAGATGGATGTATCGAAAATAAATCTGCTTGCTCTTACACGGAAGTGTCTATGTTTTTTAGATTTTATAGAAGGGAGGAAGAAATAAATCAACTGGAAAAAATCTAATTGTTTCAGATGAAAATCTATGAATCCTACTTTTCCATGCTGCGAAACTCAATCTATGTGCTGCACAAAAACCTGAAAACTGGGCCTTATCTCAATTCCTATTAAAACTGTATAGTTTATTTCGAATAGTTTCGTCGCAGGCACTCCTCACACACAAAATTACTCCATGAAAACACCGTTTTTCGAAGTTGGCCGATAACGAATCGAAAGACTTTCACACTCATCATAGATTAAATGGGGAAAGTTGAAATGATACATGGAACATAAGAATGGCTTTTAGTACTAGAAACGATGACGACGTGTCGAAAAAAATTATCAGGAAGAGGGAATTTCTGGAAAAGTGAGAAGATGGTTTATTTACAAAGATCAAAAAATGGTGAAGGCACATAGTTTCAAACCTAAAGTAGATGTCAAATAGACGTAAAGGTTGCGCCGCTGAGTCTGGAGTAATGGGGTTGAATACCAGTAAGCAAAAAAAATTATGTTAGTGAAAACATTGGATCTGAGTGAACAAATATTAGTGAATCTGTGACGGAATAGTATGAAAACTGAAAAATTTCGATACGAATATTTCTTTTTGAAACCATTTTATGTTGAACCAATCAACTATATCGATAAACGTAAACTGCTAGAATTGAGAAACAAAATGAGAGGAACAGCAATATCTTTGACGATTTCGTAGATTGCGTCCAAAAGTTTTACGAAACCGATTAATCTACGAAAATCTGATTTCCCACGCGGACTACAAACATTTTCTAAAACGAAATGAAATGGATATTGGCTCAGAAGCTCCAACTACCGGGTAATTTTAAAAATCAAGGCATTGCGTTGGAAATACTATTGAACCTTTATCAGAACGGCCATCCAAGAAAACTTATGAAAATGAAATCAAACAACAGACTCCAACAAAACTGCTTTACAACAAGAAAATTGAACTACATGACAATAATGAAGTCTTCTGCTTTTCTGCCATACTATTTGCAACAAGCTGTTTCAGCAAAAGGGACATTTCTATTCCAGAAGGTATTCTCACATAAATCACATTTTACACTCTTCCCAAACAAGGACTTTCTCCTTTCTCCATATTTACCAACAATAATCACCCATAGTACACCTGATTACAGATCGTCGAGCTCTTACTCTCCGTTTTTTCCATCTTAAATGAAAATGAGGCGTGTTCTTGCGTTTCGTTGAAAACCGTCTCAAAAGCGCAAATGCAGCACTATTTAGAGAGGGTGCAAAATATAAAAGCTACTGATAACAACTGCGATCAGATAGTGTTTCGAGTTCTCATACGAGGAACGAACTTATTCTATATTTCCACTTTTGCTGTTGGATTTTTATTGTTTTCCATACAAGGTGAGTATTTTCAGAAGTTAGTTGAGCATCATGAATTACGTAAGGATGACACTATAAGAAGTTGGTAACAAACACTTCCTGGTCACGGGGTTGGGGAAAGTGCATGATCTAATGTTTCGTTGATACAGGAAATGTTTTGTAAATTTTTTCATTTCAGTCGAAAAATGTCGATCCACCACCTTCCATGTGAAATGCTCCGATCGGTATTCCAAAATGTGAATTCACACGATATTCCACATTTAAGACACGTCTGCCGTATGGTAAGGGTTTTTTGTTAACCAATTCAGTTTACAAAATTTAATTTTACAGTTCAACAATGTCATCAAAACCAACTACTGTTTCCTGCCACGTGTTGCTTATCTTGTGAAGATCTTCTCCGAAAACGGACAAATCATGATTTCCAACATGAAATCCGGAGATATCAACGGATGCACACAGGTGCGCAGTTTCAACCATTCATATGTTAGTTCCTGGTTACAGTATTTCCTTTTGTGGAAATTTCGGAGAAAGAAAACCCCAGAAAGAATTATCAGGAATTCCCCCTTCTCAACGTTTCTCTTATCTGTTCACCCACTCAATTCGCTTTCATCCAAGTGGAGCGCCTTTTCGTTTCGTTTCAATCGACAACAAGTTATCACTTTTGATGAAGCTCTTATCAGGGTTGCCCTCTCATTATCACTTTCGATTCTCATTTTTTCTGTCAACGAAACGGGCATAATGACCATTCTCTGTCGCCGGCTCTCCTGTAAAGTTGTGCTCTTTCAATGATCTTTCTTCGGAGTGAAAGTGAGAGGAGCACGTGCCTTTCACATAGTAGCACGGCGCCAGTTGATGATTGACTGGAAGTGAAAGTACATGAGTGACCCCGATTAAAAATATATCGGAAGGTTTTCCTCCGGGCAAAAGTGAAAACTCGGCAGAAAGTGATCAACACTAGAAAACGTGAGAGGGGAACAATCAGGAGATTATTGTTGAACAGAAAAAATGATGAGCGCAGCAAAACGTGCAAGTAGCATGCATAGCAAAACCAAATTTCACTCTACGGCAGTGATAGTAAAAGTCAAGGATTGCAGAATCTGTTCGAGTTTGATTTCAACCACTGGAGAGAAATTGGAATTGTGGAGATGGAATTCGAAGATATCCAGAATTGTGATGATCAGGATGTGAAGAAAGCTTTCACAATGATCATTGAAGAGATGATCAAAACAAGACAATCACAATTGAGAAAAATGGCCTTTACAAATGTTTCGGTATCAGATAAAGTAGCAATTGAAATAGAAGAACTTTTCGGGTTGGCTCTTCAACAGTGCGAGGTTACTGGACTAGCAGAAAAACAATCAAGTTCGTATTTTTTCAGAATCTGACTGTCGAGAATTCGATCCTCCCTATTTCAATCTCCAAAAAATCAGTCAATGCCTCTAAATTTGATCATTTCCGCTGGATTTCTTCAATTGGCTCCTCTCCAGTCCCGAGCACTGAAATCCTCAAAAAGTTCCAATCTGATATGAAATCCGCTGTCAACAGAAGATCTTTTTTGGCTGAAATGGATTCCGTAACCGTCGAAGCTGCATGCGATTTCCTTGAGGTATGTTGCCATTTCACCTCATGTGATTTCAATTTCTGATGTCTTCTTCTTTCCTATTCATTTGGCAACTTTCACTCTTTAGAGAGAAACATGTTATTTATTTGCTGATAACTGACTAACAAAAAAAGAAAGTGGACAGTTTTTTCCGCGATAAGTCGTGTCAAAAACCGACATATTTTCAGGAATGGCTTCGCTTGCCAATCGCGTCATTCTTTAATCTGTCGTTCCACAACTGTGATGATACCTGGAAAACACGTTTCCTGGCAGAATGTGAGCACCGTGAACTCACACATAACTACATGGAATTCCAGTCCAGAACTCATAACAATGCACATGTGAAAGT